GTGGTTAGGGCACCAGCTATATGCACTGGAGTTGACGGGTTCGAACCCAACCTGATTCTACTAAAACAAAAACAAACAAACAAAAATAGCCAGGTGTCATGGCTGGTGCCTGTAATCCGAGCTACTGGGGAGGCTGAGGCAAGAGAATTGCTTTAGCCCAAGAGTTTGAGGTTGCTGTAAGCTATGATGACACAGCACTCTACTGAAGGTGACAAAGTGAGACTCTGTCTCACAGAAAAAGAGATTTTCTGCAAACTGTTACATATTTTTGGAAAGAAAATGTTAATAACAACATATTTTGTATGAAATTTGCTTATTCAATTTCGTACTGTGTAACAATTAGTTTATTTACAAATCTTTTCTTTTATCAAGACTGAATTGACTATATTTGTAGCTAAATGCTTCATCTACAACTTTAGGAGAGACTTTTTTTTTTTTTTGAGACACAGTTTCACTTTGTCACCATCAGTAGAGTACCATAGCGTCACAGCTCACAGCAACCTCCAGCTCTTGGGCTTAGGTGAGTCTCTTGCCTCAGTCTCCTGAGTAGCTAGGTCTACAGTCACGTGCCACATCGCCTGGCTATTTTATGGTTGCCACCATCATTGTTGTTTGGTGGGCCCAGGCTGGATTCGAACCCACCAGCTCAGGTATATATGGCTGGTACCTTAGCTGCTTGAGCCACAGGCGCTGAGCCCCAGCTATTTTTTTTTTTTTTTTTGTAGTTGTCATTGTTGTTTAGCAGGCCTGGGTCAGGTTTAAACCTGCCAGCCTAGGTGTATGTGTCCAGTGCCCTAGCCACTGAGCTACAGGCCCTGAGCCAGGAGAGACTTTTAAAAGGAGTTGAACTTATTAGTTCAGTTCCAGCCTCAGAATTATGAGTATGGATGGATGGTGACAATGGCATTAGGGCACTGCCTGCCCTCCCCAGGAAAGTAACTTAGTCTGATCCAGCATGGGAAGTGAAGGGACCAGGGGCCAAGCATTCTCCTAATACATGGCAATAACCACACTGCATCTGATTCAGTATAGCCCTGTTCCCTACTGATTTGCTCATCTCACCTGCCCTGAGAGGCAGGCAAGAACTGAGTCCAGAGAAGTTATCTGAGTAGCCTGAGCTCACACAGCCAGCTAGGGACAGGGCCAGGACTTGATCCCTGGCCATAGCAGCTCCCTCTCATCCCCCAAGAATTTTAAAAACTCATAAATTCTGAAAGGTACTTTTGTCAGAAATAATAATAAATAAAAATAAACAAACTCACGAAGACAGGAGGGCCCGAAGGTGCCTGAGGGACAGCAGAGCTTCAGGGAATCTGAGCAGAGCCACTGGAAGAGGTCTGGGGCCTCCTGCTTCCTAAGGAAGGGCAGAGTAGAGGAAGGAGGCCAGGGACCGAGCAGCATCAGAGGCACTGCTCGCCCTCCCATCCCACCAAATCTGTGATCCAACCAATCTTGAGCAGAAGACACATAAGGCACATGACCAATGCCCTTTTCCCATTTGGCAGAAACATAAACAGGCCAGAGACGGAGCTTGGGTACTCCAGCAAGTCCTTAGCAGATCTTGGTTTGGAAGGAGCTGAACCAGGACACAGTCCCCAGCATGCAACCCCTTGCTTCTTGGCCACTTCAAAGCCTTATCACTAGACCCCTCATGTGACCCACTCCCAGGAAAGGACCCCATGTAACTTACTTGTGAAACCACCAGCTTTCCACCAGCTCCTCACTCAACTCCAACAGGCGGTGGCACTCGAAGTCTGATTTGCTGCACACGCCCTCAAGCACCTCTACCAGGCGAGTCTCACTGACCAGGGACAGAGCAGGGATAGAGGAAACATTCTACCCCACCCCATCTCAACCCACCCCACCTCCTCAGGTCTGTCTCTCCACCCTTCCTCATTCAGTGACAATATCAAAGGAGAGGCCATGGGCATAACGGAAGGGGTATTGGTTCTGGCAAGCAGAAAGACCTGGGTTCTAATCTAGTTGTGTGACCTTGGCAAGTCACCTAACTGCTCTGAATCTGTTTTCTCATCTGTAAAATGGGGACAATACTTCCTCTGCAGGTTTGTTGTAAGACACCTCAGTTCCTGCACCTGAACAATGGAATACAATATGCTTTAAACCAGCGGTTATCAACCTGTGGGTCATGACCCACAGGAACTGTATTAAAGAGCTACAGCATTAGGGAGGTTGAGAACCACTGCTAAACTAACTATATTCTGAAGTCTCTCAAATTCCTATTTCCAAGGCTGGGCGCAGTGGCTCACACCTGTAATCCCAGCACTTTGAAGGCCAAGGTAGGTAGATTGCCTGAACTCACAGGTACAAGACCAACCTGGGCAAGAGTGAGACCACGTCTCTAAAAATAGCCAGGCGTGGGAGGCTGAGACAAGGGAATCACCTGAGCCCAAGAGTTTGAGGTTTCTGTAAACTATGATGCCATGGCACTCTACTGAGGGCGACAAAGTGAGACTGTCTCACAAGAAAAAAAAAATTCCTGTTTCCAGTCCCTACTTCTCCCCTGAATTCCAAACTTGGATGGAGTCTACTTAGATGTCTACTGGACATCCCAGGCCAACATGTTCAATGAGAACACCTCATCTCACTCCTCCCCTAAATGATCATGGTCCCCCAATCTCATCATCCTGGAGAAAGGCACACTATTCAACCAGTAGTTCAGATCCAAAACCTAGTAAACATCTTTTATTCTACCTTTTTTCTCATTTCCCATAGTGAATCCATCATCAAATCCTATTGGTCTATCAGCAAAATATACCCAGAATGTGACCCCTTCTTGCCATGTCCACTACTAGACATCATGCTAGCTCATGCTGCCTTCACGCCTACAGGATGCACTAGCCTCCCAAACTGGTCTCCTGGCTTCCTCCACACTGGCCCCTGTAGTCTGTTTGCTGCATAGTAGTGCGAGTGATCTTTTAAGGTAAAAATAAGACCACATCAGCTGGGCATGGTGGCTCACGCCTGTAATCCTAGCACTCTGGGAGGCTGAGGCTGATGGATTGCTTGACCTCACGAGTTCAACACCAGCCTGAGCAAAAAAGTAAGACCCTGTCTCTACCAAAAATAGAAAAATTAGTTGGGTGTTGTGGC